ACAAAATGAAAATTATAATATGACATCTCCTTTTGTCTGAAATGAAAAAAATGTATTTTGTAATATAACAATTTAGAAATATTACCTATTTTAGTAGGCCATTTTTTTTTTGTTAATTAGTTCATAATCCTTATTTATAATATATTCTTTATTTTTTTTAATTTTTTTTTGGTTAATATTAACACATGTCACAATCTAAATTAACTATTATACATGACATAATTTTGAGAATAAAATTTTTGTTTACGTGTCGTATTCTCAGCATCCTCTTTATATAATAAGATATAAACAACTTCAGCTAAATTTAAAAATCTTTTCTTGGGAAGTGAACTTGCGAGTTGTGACCATAGTCGAACATCAACCTTCTCCAAATGGGCTACAAGTAAACTGTGTTACACGGAATCTCATCCATATATTATTACTTTAATTAATTCTTAAAATGTACATGATCTTTTACACGTTCTTTCTATATCTAAATTCTTATTTGTGATTCCCATTATCATTGTTTATGATCTTAGACAAGATTGAGGGTGTTACATAAATCATTTCGCTAAATAAAAAAATAAAAGCACTAAACTTAATCCTCTATCGGAATAATGTTGACCATTAAATCATAATAACAATTAGAAATCAATCTCAACCGCTAGGTTGAATTTTTCTTACGGAATTAAATATTGCTGACATTAAGCATACCCTTAAACGTGGTTTCCATAGATTTTGGGATATATTTTTTGTGGTATTACATGATTAAGTGAAGTTGAAAACGTACGGGAGACAAAATTAAAAGATGGAATACAACATCACTTTTGATTCTCTAACACAACCACCACCTTACAAAAAAAAAGAAGACAATGTATCGACGACAAAATCTGTCACCACTCATTCAAAAATGTCAAAAATAAACACAAGGTAAAACTTATAAATTCCCAAACATATGACCTTGTTCTCCAAATACCATCATCAACCATTTGAATTTGAAAGAAAAATAGAATTAAGAAAATGATAGACTCGAGAAGACTCTTATGGAAACTATCTCTCATTGTTTTGGTGGCAGCTGTTTCTAAGGCAGTCTTTGCTGAACCATCATCCATCTCAGGACTAAAGAATTGTTCAGCTGATGATGCTTCATTAGCTGGCGCAGAGGTTGGAAACAGACGTGAAGCCGCTGAACTAAAACCAAAACCACAACGGGAAGAAGGAAAAGGCCCGGGTAAAGGCGGTGCCATGAAACCTGAGAAGAAAAAGACTAACATTGTCGAAATACCTGAGACGAAAGGTGGTGACGTGCCCCTACAACCTGGTGATTACATGGTCAAAGCGCTTGAGGTGAAAGATGGTGCTTTGGTCGAAGGACCTGAGACGAAGTGGCCCGGTAAATGGGAGTTATTCCTCAAGAGCTCTGGCGTATCCGCGATGCACGCAATTCTTATGCCAGTGATTAATAAAGTCCAGTTTTACGACGCAACCATTTGGAGAATTTCTGAGATTAAACTGCCTCAAGGGGTACCTTGCCATCTTTATAACCACAAGACTAATGCAGTCGATTGTTTTGCTCACTCTGTCCAAGTCGATATCAAAACCGGGAACCTCAGGCCTCTCTTGGTAACAAAATATAATGGTTACAATGTTATGCATAATATATGAAAACAACACTTTTATGAAACGGAGATAATAACAATCATTATTGATTTGATGGACTTAATGTAAATATTGCAGCTTACAACGGATACATGGTGTTCCTCGGGAGGTTTAACCGTAAACGGGACTTTGGTAAGCACAGGAGGATACCAAGGAGGAGCAAACACGGCGAGGTACCTTGCTAGCTGCGACAACTGCGGATGGGTGGAATATCCAAAGGCATTGGCTGTAAGAAGATGGTACTCAACACAAGCCACTCTCCCCGATGGAAATTTCATCGTTGTTGGAGGCCGAGACGCTCTCAACTACGAGTATATCCTACCCGAAGGAATGAATAACAAGAAAATCTATGACTCACAACTTCTTAAACAAACAGATGACCCAGAAGAAAACAATCTATACCCATTTGTTTGGCTCAACACTGATGGAAACCTCTTCATTTTCGCCAACTATCGTTCCATTCTTCTTAGCCCGAAAACAAACAAAGTGATCAAAGAATTCCCTCAACTCCCTGGTGGTACTCGTAACTACCCTGGTTCCGCCTCCTCTGCTCTTCTTCCCATCCGCCTTTACGTCGAAAATCCCCCTGTCATCCCTGCTGATGTCCTCGTCTGCGGTGGCGCCAGACGAGATGCATTCTACCGTGCTCAATATAAGAAGATTTTCGAGGCGGCTTTGAACGACTGTGCAAGGATGGACATAAATAGTGCTAATCCTGAATGGAGAACAGAGATAATGCCAATGCCACGAGTCATGAGTGACACTGTGATCCTCCCAAATGGAGAAGTTCTTATCGTAAATGGAGCCAGACGTGGAAGCTCTGGCTGGAACTTAGCCAAAGAACCAAATTATTCTCCAATCTTGTACACACCTGACAAGCCTCTAGGCAGTCGTTTCAAAGAACTCGCGGCTACCACTATCCCCCGAATGTACCACTCCATCGCAGTCGCTCTTCCTGACGGTAAAGTTCTTGTTGGTGGTAGCAACACTAACGATGGTTACCAGTACAAGAACGTTGAGTACCCGACCGAGCTCCGTATCGAGAAATTCTCACCTCCTTATCTCGATCCAGCTCTTGTCAACGTGAGACCAAAAATTGTGACATCCGCTACACCGAAACAAATCAACTATGGACAAATGTTTAACGTGAGGGTCGGCCTTAACCTACCAAATGTGGTAAAGGAGAATATGATGATTACAATGTTGGCACCATCATTTACTACTCATAGTGTATCAATGAACATGAGGTTGCTTTTGTTGGGTATTGCTGATGTGAAGTATCTTCGTGGCAATCTTCATCAAGTCCATGTTGCTGCTCCTACAAGTGGAAACGTTGCTCCTCCTGGTTATTATCTTCTCTTTGCGGTCTACAATGGTGTCCCAAGCGTTGGAGAATGGATTCAAATTGTTTGATTTTAATTTGCAAGTATATATAATGATGACTATGATTTTTAATTTGAACACATTTTTGTAAAGCAAAACAATTTGTTTTTGGTATCTACTTTGAGTTTTTAGTGAATATTATTCCACCCATTTCCTTGACTTCAA